ATTGCATCAAGGGTCGTTGTTTCGGTGACAAGATAGCCGCGACGTTTTCCAAGACCAAAAAGGACCTCGGGTCCATATAAACATTACATTATTCAAGGATTTGGGGAAACTATGTTTTTTTTTGGATATTGATAATGCCATCATAATACATTTGATGCCAGATAATGCCACAAAGACTCGGTGATGGGTTCTGCTCATCATACAGCCGCCACACATGCTTCAGCAAGCCCGTTCTTGAATCCTCCAACCCCTGGCCATGGCCTGCACCACAGACACCCTGGCGGAGTTCGGTTTGAGTTGGTGATGGTTGGTTGCAGAATCATGTGATCTAATTTGAAAAGAAACGGACTGTGGGAAGACAGGCAACAACACATTGGGCCTGACATGGGAAGCCGGCCAAAAAGCCGTCCACGGGTTCAGGGATGCTGAAACTGCAAATGTCATCGTGAATTGGTGCTTTGTCCACCAACTTCTCATCCATGCGCTGCTGGATGATCTTTCTGCAGGTTTCTGACTTCTCAACCTTAGAACAAATTCATAGGTATGATCAAATTTAACAAAGGTGATTAGGTAATGTCATAAGCCGCAGGCATAGTGCTTGCAGTGGACAAACCTCGGCATTTTTTGATTCCACAACCCTATGCAAAAATATGAGGTTCCATATGATTCCAATCTGTTCACAACTGCTATTTAGACATGGGGCAGCTGCCAATCTGAGTTCAAGACCGGTGGAATCCGAGTTCCAGTCCGAGCACCCCCGAGAACAAGCTGATAACAGACCACTTCTTTGGGCCCTGCCAATGCAACCACAGAAATTGATTTTAATTGGTGGCTTTGCTGATTCTCAAAAATACGGCACATAACACATGATCCCTCCTGTATGTCGAACCAAGGGTAAATTGCACTCAGGTAGTCCTTCACGGACCCAGCTTCTGGATTTGTCCATCCTTGCGGGAGTCCTTCCAACTCAAAACATATAACAACTGTGCAAAGAAGTTGGATTCACTGGAGTGTTTTTGTTCTAACTTATTCCCCCCTCCTGCGAAGTACTCAGCCACACTTGGTGTGACATACACGCCCTTTGGAACACGATGAAGTTTGCACGCCAGGGTATACTGTTCCCAATGGTAGACCTGGTTGGCGAAGTCCTGCGCCAAGGTCATATAAAAATCAAACTCAGAAGGAACATGGTCAGAACATACTATACCATTGCCGTAAATTTCTGCGTATATGAATATGTATATATATATATATGTGTATTTACATATATATATATAAGTATATGTAGATATATTTATATATACATATATTTATTTATTTATGTATATGCATTATATTCTTTAAATATATATCTATATATTTTTTTGTATAGTACAGTACATGTATGTTTTTCAAGATTGGTCCTGTGCCCCACGTTTGCTGAGATACCGCTCGTTCGCCTTTTGGGTTGCTCCAAACAAACCTGCAGCGCAGGATTGGATGTAGCACCATTGGGCTGAGATGACTCTGGCTTTGAGGCCTGGACGGATGGTCCCCCATGTGTGCAAAGTAATGCGGGAAGTGAGGATTGCTCCTTTCTTGGGAACTGGGCAATCTTTGGCAGGCTTTTTGGGCACCTCATTCACAACAAGCGATCGTCTTACAATGTGTTGTTTTGTATTCAGCTGACATTTCACCAAACAACATCAGCGAGCTTTCAAACCAAAATTACCTGCTGCCAATTGGCCAGAACTATGTTGATCTGTTCTCCTTTGTTCTGCGGCATGAACTGGGGATCCACTTTCGACAAAGATCCATGGGCATAGGCTGCATACTTCGGCAGACGACCCTGAACCAGGCTCACGATTCAACAGGTGGTTAACTAATAGGCCCACAGGGTATGACAGAATCATAGACCAGGCCTCACAGTCCTCCATTGATAGTGACCTAGAGGTTCTACATGATAGACATCTTCACCAAACTTAGAGTGCAAGAAGATGCAACACAATTGGGATCCCCGCTCCATTGCAATGTCCTGGTCCATGGGATCTAAGCTGCACCTGGAAATTGCGGCATGATTTTCAAATATGTTTGGGGATCAAGGGTCAAATGCTGACAAAATTTTGATTGGGGCCCCCACTCACTCAGCTCATCCACATCTTGAAGTCGGGGCATTTCCGAAAAAAAGGTGAATCCCTTGTGGGCTCACCCCAAAAAATAGAGCCACAATTCTACCCGGTTTTTCATGATTTATGGCCAATGTTTTGCACAACTCTTGATCACAGACATTGTGCATCACAACATTTTCTCACAATGGGCATGGCGGTCATGCGTCCAGTGGCCACTTCGGAGCCACATCCCCAAATAAGCTGAGCTGGCCAAAGGGTGCTGTCCAAGATTGATAGTATTTGGTTCTTACTACACCTGAAAAATTGTGGAGAAGTTCCCCAAAATGGTATCTGTTGATTTTATAGGGCAACACTCTTCCCAGCCCTCAACAACTGACTGAGTCTGTGCCAATCTCTCCATCTGCGCAGGCAGGAAGACGCCAGCCTGGGACATGAGCGGTGCTTTCTGGTGGCATGTGAGGCTGTGATTCAGGATGGTTCAAAGTAATATAACCTTTTATCTTGAACCAAATTCACACTAGGTATGAAATGGGTTCACCACAAAGATCAGTGTTAATCTTGGCATGAAAAAAACTGATCTTATGCTGTACCCTTGTTTGATCTGAATCCCATCCAGCCTCAAAGCGAGTCTCTCACCGTTTCAGCGGCGTGGTTCTGACCTCAAGCGTGGCGGGGACTACAATTTTTGTTGAACAATAGCAAAGAATATCAAACAATAACCTACTCATATTTTTTTGGATTGCAGTGCAAAATATTCACACAATATTACTTTCTGGGGCCCTGGCTCAAAGCAAAGGAGATTTGTAGTCGTCAGCTCATCGGTTGATTGGAACCCCCTGACCTTCCTGAAAACTAACTATCAGTGCCTCCTCAACTCAGCCAGGAAATTGAGATCAAAAGTTCCACCAGATTCATATTGACTGTGAGCTTGATCGAGTATATTGATAATCACCATAAAGGTGCCGACCAAATCTGGGTGTCCTTGACGTGCATTCAGAAACTGTTTGACCTGCCAGTATGTGGCAATTGGTGATAAAATCAAATATGATAAATGTTGACCATGATTTCGATAAAATGTGGTAAATCAAGTAGGTGCAACAACCCATAATCCCAAACCTCTTTCAAGACTGTTGTGATGAAAGCTCGTTCCTTCACCAAATAGTCCTGGGAAATGGTCAGGATGAAACCCTTGATGTTTTGAAAAACCAACCACGTTTGAGGACCAGGCGACATCAGCCTGGAAACCTGATTGGAGAAGGTCTTGTTCCTGGGCCAACCCCCCAATGTGATTTGATTGTAATATATAAGGGTGTGTGCAAAAAAAAAACAGGAGTCTGACCTCATCAGTGCTGTCGAAGTCCCTTGCAGTAGGTGCGGCCTTAGGCACAGCTAGTCAAAGCCGTCGATCGGGTTTGGCCACAGGAAATTGAGATTCAAACCCGAACTACCCGAAGATCTTTCATGATCTTTGACGACCTGAATAGTCAAAGGGAAACTAGTGGGGAAAGACATGAACATTTGTTCCATGCAGTGAAATGAATGCAGTAGAGAGTCTCCGGTGACCACTCGAAGGCGTTCTTAGTTGATTCAAAAGAAATATTCACTGGGAACACGTTGAAATGTACCACACATGTTGTTTTCATCAAACCAGTTCAAATCAAAACACCGATCGATGCAGCGGCAATCGGTATGGAGAGCGCGACCGGCTGGGTTCGGCCTTCGTCATGCCAAAGGCATGAAAAAATCTGGGAAAAAACAGGTTGGATTGGATTATCTTGGGGCGTTGACCCTTTCAACAATGTGGTTTGCGTTTTTTTTTAATAATGGGATGTACTACACGGTTTGAATGTGCCCCCTTGATGTATGTATATAAGCATCAATCTATCAATCTCTACATCAACAACCACAATTAAATAGAGACATATCATATCTATATATTATATATCAAAAAAATCAAACGCTCAATTCCATTGAGATGAGACCCGGGCATCCTGGCTGGACATCCGGTCACACGCCTCAAAAGAGGCCAGAAATGCGGATTGGAGTTTCTGGGTTTAATATTGGATCAAGGCCCCAACCTTTAAGCCAATCAAATGGTGCAGCAGCTATAGCCTGCACTCAAGGAAAACCAAAAAATGTTGTTTGATGTTGCTGGGCAAATTATCTACCTGCCTTCACTCTGAGCGAAGGCGCCAGGGATGAGGATACAAAAAGCCAAATGGCTATAGGACAGGCGATTTGAAATCTCACCTCTCCCCAAAAAACCATTGGGTCAAAAAAGTTGGTTGAAAAGTTTTGGATGGGGATTGTGTGAAATGTAGACTATATGTAAAAGAATCATATCATAATGTTTATATTCCAACATTATATATATAATTACATATATATATAATAATTATAAGTATATATATATATATCATATGTATATACTTTTTCTCAGCGCACACGAGCACACAATGTGTGACCCGCGGGTTTGTGAGCCATTGTTCTAAACCCATGGCTCAAGAAAAGTCATGTCAAGACAGCTTGACTATCAAATCAGCAAAGTCATGGCTCAATGCCATGTGATGGCAGCTTGACCGGCACATCAGCAAAGTCATGGCCCAGTGCCATGTCATGACAGCTTGACTATCAAATCAGCAAAGTCATGGGCCAATGCCTTGTGTCAAAAACAGTTGGTTTTGAAACCTGCAGGAGCCTTCAAAATCTCAAGACCCTAGATGTGCCACAAGACCCTGAACAAAGGGAACAGCAAATAATGTTGTATACCTAACCATGGGATAATAATTGGAACTTTTCTAAAGTGTGACTTTTGAGCAGTGGGTGTTTCAGGTCGGATGCCAGGAACATCTTGGCTCAGGGTCCCCTTTTGAGGGTTGGTTAGGCACGGCCATGTTTCGATGGTGTCGCCTACTGGTTGGGCTGGCGGTTTTGCATACAGCTCCTGGATGGTGGCGTGAGGAGTCGAAGACCGAGTCCGCGCCGAAGTTCAAGGAGGAGCCTTATCGCTATGCTCACTGGGTGTATAACCAAACCTTTAGAAGCAACTACACGATGGATGACCTCTGGGCGTGGGCACCCACTAGCTGGGACGGATGGCTGTGGATGGCACTGGACGCATTGGGAAGCACCATAGGTTGGCTTATATTTGGGAGGAGCTGGGACCAGGTTCGCAGCGGCTTCTCATTGATACTGCGACTTGGTGCCCTACTGGCAGTGTGCATCTCAGTTCACTACGTCTTGGCTTTGTGCTGGCCTATCATGTCTCTCTTGGTTGGCCTGGTGGTGACTTGCGTGTGGATCGTGCGGACGCTCCTCAGGTGCTGTGGGCGCATGGTTTTCTACACACAGAAATGGACTGGAGGAGTACCGGAGGCCACGGAAGCGAGTTTCTTTGGGCCGGAAATCGGCGAACCACCTGAGACTGGCGATCTGAGACGTTTGAAGAAAGGGGCCGACGGAGATAGATGGGTTCTGGTGCGCAGGAGCGGAAAAACGGTGATTTTCCGAGTGCAGGACTCGAGCAGCATTCGGTCTTCAGGTTTGCACCTCACCGTGGAGCCGGGTACGCTTCGAGGTGATGAGGAGCTGGTGTCAGCGCTGCAAGGGCACGATCGTGTTCACATATGTCGACATGAAGCATGCAGCGAGGAGGGCCCCCATTTCAAGCAGTATGCCACGGTTAAGGTTTTCCAGCCGGAGAAGTTCCAGCTCGCGGTGGCTGCTTCTGGAGCACAACAGGCGGGGACTCAAATGGTTGGATGGTTCCGGCGAAGTGCTACCACTGTCGCTAGGAAGGCACGTGACATGACTTCCGAGTCCGAGACGGAAACACTGCCTTGTCTGGCTCACCAATTGCGGTGGGAGGATGATCATGGACGTCATGTACTGAGTGATGAGCGGTGTAGGCAGGTAGGATCGGAATCTAAGGTTCTGGATGAGGACTTGCCCTCTGACGTAGGAGTTTGCACCCTTTGCTCAAACCACATGTCTAAGTATCTTAGTGGAAGGTTCCAACTTAAGTGTGCTGTAGCTGACTGCTCGCGGCTCGGGCATGTGGGAGCTGGTGGACTTCGAACTTGTGCTCAACATGAAGAAGCTCAACGGTCTTCATCGCGGAGGTCTTCTCGGTCACGCTCACGAGTTCGACATCATGGAGAAGCTCTACCCGGTGATGATGCTCAGGGAGAAGGTGTACGACGGCGAGTTCGACCCGATCCTGGAGAAGATCAACAAGGAGATGGAGCAGAGTGGTTGCTGGAAGAGACGAAGGATGTGGCTCCTCCAGCGCGTGGGACAAGGGCTCGAAAGCGGGCTGTAGAGGATGGGTCATCCGGAAGGACACCAAAATCTGGAGTTCAGCGGAGTTTGGCCAGACTGGGAATGATCAACTCCCCAGATCGGCGAGAGGTTCTCACAACATTGGAGGAGTTTTTGGCACAGTATGTGGAGGCAAAGGAGCTGGGCGTCGACGAGGAGGACGTGCGCAATCAGATGGCAGCGTCCTGCGGGCTCAATGTGGTGGAGTTCACACAGATGCTCTATGACCAGGGCGTGGAGGAGCAGCGCAAGGGTACCAAGGGCTTGACGAAGTTTCTTGCAAAGTGGAGGAAACAGCTGGCTGCGGGAAGAATGTCCACAACGTCAATGACCCCGCCTTCGAGCTGGAGCCTGGTGGGAAGTCCTGAAGGAAGTGCGGCTGGGCCCCCGGTGGAAGGTGCGAAGGCTTCGGAAAGCACGACGCCTCCAAGCAAGCCCAGTTTGGTAGTGTTGGGCCCACCAGGCATCTATTCAAGTGAAGATCGGAAGGCAGGTACAGGAGGCTCAGGAGTTGATGGAGGCATGACGGACTTGGCAAAGGCCATACAGCATCAGACGGCAGAGCTGGCGCACTTGGTCAAGGCGCAGAGTGAGGTCAACCCTGGGGCCAATGCAGGAACCATGCGGGGTTTGGGAAAGACTGCGGAGGAGTTGGTTTTCTTACTCCGAGCATGTGGGCAGTACACGGTCGAGGTGGGGCTCAACGAGCACGGTGCAGATCTGGCCACGGCTTTGCTCAACGCTCAGGCTGGTGCTTCTACGAAGCTGAGGAGTTCAGGATTTCGTCAGCGAGTCACCCAACGTCTTGCAATCGGTTTGGCAGGCCCCTTTTGGGGGACACAGGAGAAGTTTGCCTTGTCCGCATCAGACTTCGTACCATGTTCAGATGCTGAGTTGGATCAGTTTGCGGTGGACGCCAGGACGGGAAAGCAGCAGGCTGAACAACGCCCTCCGCCACCGACAAGGTACGAAGACTGGAGCAGTCGTGTCAAACGCCAGACCGACATTTGGTGCTTGGTTTATGGAAAGGAGTGGCGGGCAGTTCGAGAACATGCAGCACAGGTGTTGGGCGAGTGGCATCTTGGGGCACCTCATCGCTGGCCGCTGCAAGTCCTGATCGAGGTTTGGGAGGAGCTACACTGGCGGTTCATCGAGGAGCTCAAGGGAGAACTTCGAAAAATCAAAAGCACTTGTGGCCGTGAGTCTTTGTCTTTGGCCGACCTCAAGTTCTATGCCCTGATGCCGGATGAGAACGGATGCCCCCCGTTACAATTGCCACGAACGTTCGACTTGCACAACCCAGATGGGTGGTTCATGTCTGAGGTTCTTCCGAGGATTGACCGGCGACAAGAACGGCTTTTGTGGAAATTGACGTGGGAAGGAGCAGCAAAGAGCAGAGGGCCAAGCCAACAGGCTGGAGGAGATGGCAAGGTGGATGACAAGCTGACCCTCAAGACACTTTTGGGGCCCAAGCTCACGGCGGAGGAAAGCTCGAGGGCAAAGGATAGAGCTCCCACCAGCAAGGATGGAAAGCTACTCTGTTGGGGTTTCCTGTCGCACCTGGGATGTCAGCAAGCTAATTGTCAACGTGCTCACGAGCATCTACGTGGCAGCTTTGAGGCTTTGGACGCAGCCGTGCAAATGCAGCTACTACGACGAGGAGGGCTGAAGCGCATGCGACCAGAGAATAAGGAGTCTGCCGCCGAGAAGATCAAAGAGCTGCGCAGCATGGTTGCCAAGGACAAGCAGGACAAGGTGAAGGATGGGCAGAGCCGTCGACGAGCTGGCCAAGAAGGAGATGGAGCACAGGCGGTTGAAGAGCCGCAGAACGGTGAGCAGAGGGCAGGTGGAGTTACATGGAGGGCTCCAGAGGAGTTCATCGACGTCGACTTCACCAAGCAGGAGCAGGAGTTCGAGTCCATTGTCAAGGGCCCCGACCAGGCGGTGTTCAAGCACATCCCGGTGGAAGGAAGGGCGCATGCAGGACGTCACGGTCAATCAGCCACGGCGCAAGCGCAAGAAATGCTGAAAAGGGCCCAAGAATTGTCGCATGGACCTGTTCTTGGTCGTCTTCAAGGAGCTTCAGATGATCTCTACGCCTGGGCAGCGGCGAGGGTCGCCAACGAGCCAAACATCACCTTTGTCGAGCTCTTGGAGGACATGGTTCAGTACGGTCTTGGAGAGTTGGCGGCGGAGGCTGCAACCTTTTTGGAAGGCACAGAGGAAGCCAAAGCAGGTAGCAGCAGGAGATGCGTGGTCTCGGGCACTGAATGGACAGCTGAAGGACCCGGAAGAGCACAGGTGCTGTTAGATGGGCAGGCATGGGCTATGTACGACTATAAGGAAGAGGTCCAGATGACGGAGGAGTTGGCAGGGCTTTTGGGCGTAGTGGTGCCAGAAGTGGAGCGGCGGCAGTGCGTCACCAAGGTTCTCGCGGCTGGTCATCTTCATGGAGTACGTGGCGGCGGTCTTCCGAGTATGCAGGAGGTTGAGGAGCTGGCGCAGCAGTTCAGATTGGAACAGGCGAGGCAAGCGGTTGAAGCAGAAGGCGTGATGGGACATGCGGAGGCCAAGGTATCTGCCATGGAACATGAGTTGAGGATGTATACGCATGACATCCTCAAAGCCCACCATGACAAGGACTACAGAGCGTTGGCAGTCTTTCCCTTGGAGGCTTTGGTGCGGCTCGTGGTCATCAGAACGGACTACAAGGGCGACTACATCCCAGAGGTCGTACAGGGCACTCAGTGGAAGACGGGGCAACCCAGCATTTGGGCTCTGATTTACAAAGGGCACATGACATTGTTGGTGCCCCCATCGGACGAGGAAGCCGCTCGAGTTCTCAAGCAGTTTGATGCCTATACTACGCCTACGCTGGGGTTTCGGTACTTTTGGCACCAACGACATGATCAACCACGAACTTCCCCGGGCGTTGTAGCCTGCAGGCACTGCAAGCCTCCGAAACGGGCAGGGACTCACTATGAAAACATGCTTGTGAGAAAGGTGTCATGCTTGGCGGCAGCAGCGGTGTGCGCTGGGGGCAAGTCGACCCAATACCATGTTCGAGCTGCACAAGAACCCCGAGGGCCTACTGGGCTTGCCTTGCGTGAGTATTTTGCAGGGCATGGAGTCATCACCAAAGGATGGCAGGCAGCCGGAGAGACAGCCCGGGAACCCATTGAGCTGTATGAGGATCCACACGCCCGAACGGGCAGACGTGCGGAACATGATTTGGCTGACTTCAAGGTACAACAGCGCTACTTGAAGGCCATTGATGAGGATGAGGCAAATGTGCATTGGTTGGCATGCCCCTGCACTACCTTTTGTGATTGGAACTTGCAGAACAATGGGACCCGTACCTTTGCCAATCCAGAAGGCCGTCCCAATGAGAAGGAGGCAATGGGTAATCAGCTGGCGGAGTTTGAGGCTGCTGCGTTCCTTCGAGCTCTTGAACGAGGACACTTTCCAGTGGCAGAGAGTTCCGGGCGCTCTGGCAGATACCCCAAGATGTGGCATCTACCTTGTTGGGAGAAAATCTTGAGGCGCCCAGACGTGGACTTCTTGGAGGTGGACATGTGCAGCTATGGCTTGGCGCCGTTGGATATGCAGGATGGATCCCACTTTTATCGGCACCGCACAGGACTGGCATTTCCTCGACATCCTGCTTTCCGACAAGCTCTCTTTCGACTATGTCCCGGTGTTTCCGACCGGCATCAACATGTCCCACTCCAAGGTTGCCGGCCAGACACTACGGTCACACGCTGCACGGAGGCAGGTGTTTATGCTGATGCCTTCGTCGCTGCAGTGGTGGAAGCGCTCCAGATGGTTGTGGTGGGGGGTGGTAGGCATACACCGCCATGTACAATTTCAGCTGGAGGACAAGCCCCCACGAGGGGAGGACGTGAGGCAGAAGTCCTTCCAGGAGGTCGATCGCCAGGATCAAGTTCAAGCGGCAGCGACGCCTCCTCGTACAGCAGCGAAGGTGAGGATGATGATCGTGGAGGACCAGGAGGCGATCCAGAGGATGAAGAAGGGGAGGTTGGAGAAGGGCTTGTTGGGGAAAGTGAGCAAGAGGAAGAGGATGAAATCACAACCCCCACCAGTGTGGCTGACTCACCTCCTTCTGGTGTTTCACAGCCTGATTCCCCGTGGAGCCACACAACGGAGATGCTTGGTGCGGAGCTGGCAGTCAACAGAGGAGGAGGGGACGAGTGCTTCTACAACTCTGAGACGGGCCTGCTGTGGATTTGGCATCGTGCAGTAAGAAGAACTTTTAGCGGGGTGCCCGTTTCCAGTTGAGTACTTCAAGCAGTATCGGTGGACCAGGTGTGAGAATGCGGACCCTGAGAACCCATTGGAGCTGATGGAAATCCAGGACAACTGGGAGCAACAGCTGAATTGTGATGGCCCCTTTGAAAGGTGGACGGGATGGTCAGTTTTCCAGATCAAGGACTTCCCGACGCCCAGGGATTTCCCATGGGATTTGGGGGCGGAACAACAAGGTGAAGATGAAGAAGGAGGTGGTGCCGACGAACGTGGAAACCCGAGACCAGAAGGTAGCAATGGTAACCAAGAGGGTGGAGCATCGGCAGCAAGCGACGGAGACCGAGAGAGAGGCAGTGGGGCTGAAGGTGACCGAGCGGCAGGAGGGTCGAGATGGACTTCATTCGAGGCTGAGGGCATCGACAAGATTGCGGAGGAGGCAGCTTTCAAGTACATCGAGACCATTGACGGCATCGAGGACCAGGAGGACACTACATGGAGAAAGGTGTGTAAGGCAGGTGATCAATTGCTGTCATCAGCGGGATCGGTTGAAAAAGCGGCGGTGGCACTCTGGATTGCCAGGGAAAGACTTGGCAGGCACAATCTTCAGGGCGTTGACGACCCGGACATGGAGGGCCTGCTACACCCAGATCACCTAGCTTACCTTCGAGATGTACGAGCTCAAGGTATGGCAGCAAGGTATGAGGGTCAAAGAGAGCGGAAGAGCACAGTTCCGCATCCACGAGCACGAGAGAACATGCAGCAGGTGTACCGGCAGCTCATGAAGGATGTGGCGAAGCATCGAGTTTTGGTGGTAAGTGCAGGCCATGAAGGCCTGGCGCACACGGAGTCCTCCCCGTTCGAAGCGGTCCCGAAGATGCTGCCCAACAGAACGGTATCAGCGGAAGTGAGGCTGGTGCACGACCAGAGAGGGATCAACAGTGGGACGCACAAGGAATTCCATCCACCTGCTCTTCAACCTTCCCATGCACAAATAGTACGGAGGATACTGTTTTGGAAGGCCTATTTCCCGAAGGTGCCCGTCATGCTCGCCAAGAAGGACGTTGCAGGAGCATTCAGGTTATTGTGGCTCGATCCCCGGGATGTGGAACTCTTCGCGGGGGACTTGCCGTGGCAGCCGCAATTGATGGGAACGGGAGGCTCGTGGGAGAAAGGGGATCCTCCGGGTTTGACCATGCTATTCCTGGTGAGCAGCTTTGGCTTCTCAGGATCTCCAGGGGAGTGGACCGCATGGGGAAGAGGCACGGAGGAGATGCATCGGTGCTTCAAGCCCCAACAACCCAGAAGGGATGGCGAGGTCAACTTTGATGGCAAGATCTTGGTCGATGACATGGTGCTGGTGGAACCGCAGGTGGGACTACGACCGTGGGTTTCGAGCGAGGTCTACGAGTGGGCGGTCCGGAAGGTTTTGGGCGATCAGGCAATCAACGCGCAGAAGGATGCCGAAGAAGGAAGTTTTGCAGAGGCCCAAACGGTGTGGGGAGTCATCATCAACGCCAGGACGGAGAAGATGGCCCTGCCTGAGGCTCGGGTTTTGAAGGGAGCGTATCTGCTAGCCGAGCCGCAGTTCAACTATGGTGAGATGTGGTTGACGCTGAAAGATCTGCAACGTTTCCGAGGCATAGCAACCGGCTGGGCGACAGTTGTGCGGGGGCTACGTAATGAGCTGAAGGCGGCGGACAGGTTCCTTGGAGGCCTTGACGGAGGAGCAAGAGTACGACCGTCAGGTTGTCGAGACGAGGCGGAGGAGCAGCAGGCCTGGGAGGATTTGTGGGCATTGTTCGAAGACTGCCGGTGGCTTTGCACGAGATCCGAAACGTGGTCGGAAAAGTTCGGCGGGGACATCAGGGAGATGCTCAGCCCCATGGAGAGGGTGGCCCTGCCCGGAAAGCAATACGGTGGGGCCGTGTTTGTGACGTCGGATGCGACCCTGGATGTTCTGGGCGCCATTGACTGGACCAACGGCTGGGCGTGCAGACAGGAGATCAAGGAGTTGATGCCCTGGATTGGACAGATCTTGGCGGCAGAGAACATCGGAGAAGATGCCAAGCTCGCGATCCACCTGGGAGAGATGTTGTCCTTCGTGGCCTTCGCTTGCAGAGTTGGTGGATCTTGGACAGGCAAAGTCGTGGTGTATGGAGGAGACAACAAGACGGTCTACCACTGGATTGCCAACCGCAAGAGCGGAGTCAGGGCAGGTCGTTTGCTCATCAGGGTGCTCAACTTGGTGGAGATGCGATACCGATGCTTGGTGGTGGGCGGTTGGTGGCGCACGTATCACAACGAGGAGGCTGACGCAATCACACGCCTCCCTGAGGAAGAGGTGACGAAGATGATCAGTGAACGAGGGTGGACACTGGTGGATCTGAAGAACGCCATCAATCAGGCGTTGGAGGACACGGAGCGATTTGGGCCTTGTTTCCTATCTTGGGGAGATGATGAGGATCGGTACGAACAGATGAAGCTACGGGAACTACGTCGTCTTCGAGCTCTTCACAGACTTCCTGGCAGCCTGGAGAACCTCGACATCAAGGAGTGGACTTCGCAGGAGCGATTGGTCAAGGACTTCGAGTACTTTGGTGTGGCGGTCGCGGACGTCAAGCTGGCGAAGGTCGTGGCAGCAACGATTGGACCAGACCCTAAAGGGCGTGTGGTGCGCAGGTTTTGGCAGTTTTTGCATGAGGAAGAATTCGATGTGGCAATTTTGGAGGGCCCTCGCGAAGTCGATTGGACCCTGTGTGGCCAGCTTGCAGAACAAGCTGGTTGGAACTACAACGTGGCGGAGTTCCTCACCCCGGAGCTTGGGGAGTTGTTGGTGCGGCGGCGGCGGGCTATGTTCATCAGCAAGCACATCTTCACGGACGAGGAGCTCGCAGTTTGGTTGGTCAAGGAGATCTCTCCGCCTTCTTTAGGCACAGTTTTGGACAAGGGTAGCAGAGAATCGTGGAGGCCGTATGTCAAGTGGGAGCAAGCTCATGGACAAGGGGATCATCCTATGCTCCCTAAGGTCGGCGCTCACGTGTGGCTCGAAGAAGGGGGACCACGGGTGTCCGTCTACAAACTACATGGACCCGGTCGGTGGCCGCTCACAAAGGAGGACGCAGGCGTTGAAGAGCTCTATGTGGTCGACCGAGCGGCCCCGGCAGGGTTGGTGCGAAAGCTCACGGCCGAAGAGGTGTGGCGAGCACAAGGGCGCACGCGGCTCGAGTGGGAGGAGATCCAGAAAGCTGTCGGAGAGGAGCAGGCTTCGAAAGAGGGTTGCAGAGGCACAGGCAGGAGAACAGCCCTAGCTCTTTTGGGAGTCGCAGCGGACCTATGCATGAAGGACGTGGACGATGGGAAGGCAGGCATGTGTGCGGACTTTGAGGATGCACGGTCGCTGGGAACGCTATTGGCATGGCTGAGAAGGTGGCGTCGAGGGGATTTTGGTCGAGCAGTTCCAAACCGAAAGGCGGGAGGTGTCGGCGAAGAACGGCGTGTCTGGTGGTGGGGAGAAGAGCTGTGGATCAATGCCCTTGACGATGAAGTTCCCGTTCCCGGCGGGTACAAGGCTGGCGGAGGTGAGGAGTCCGGATCTGAGATCGAGGTGCTAAGTGAGAAGGCAGGAGGCCGCAAGAAAAGCAGCCGAGCTCAGGTGGCGGAGGCACAGAAGGTGGTCGAGCTGAAGCCAGGACTAGTAGCAGACCTGGATGTGCAGGCGCAGGTAGAGGAGTGGCTGCAAGAACACATGGATGGTGACAAGGCCGCCAGCACCCAGAAGGCCTACCAGGCGGCATGGGAGAAATGGTGCGACTGGAGTCGACGGCAGAAGTGGCTGACTCCTTACCTAGATCACCGTGCAGACCCCTTGGAGAACGAGAACAAGTTGCTGGGGTACCTGGGCTACATGGGCTGGTTAGGTACGTCGGTGGCCTCGCTCAAACAGGCAGTGTTCGCCATCAAAGATGCTCACAAACGGGCAGGACATGGGGATACTACAGGGAAGATGCACCGCTTGTGGATCATCCTGAACTCCTTGGAGCGTTCCGCGCCCAAACGGCCCCGACGCCTTGGGGTCACCATTCCCATGCTGAAGTGGGTGAGCCAGAAGTTTGCAGAAGGACCGGCGATGGGAGGCCAGGTGAGGGTCGACTGTCGTGTGATGATGGCGGCACTGCTTACGGCGTGGTTTTTCATGCTCCGAGCCCGAGAATTCTGCGACTCAGGAGGGATCGACGAGGAGATGATTCTTCGTGGACAAGATCTGCAATTCTCAGTGCAGGGGGAGAAGGTGAACGACAGAGCGGAGGAGGTCACACTCCAATTCCGAAAAACCAAGTCCGACCAGTTGGCCTTTGGTACATGCCGAACAATGAGGAGGACTGGAGTGGACGGCATATGTGTCGTGACGGCTCTCGAGAGGATGAAGGAGGTGACGGAGCGGCGCTTTGGGGGAGGCCCAGAAGCTCATCTCCCGTTGTTTCGGTGGTCGTCAGGGCAGGTGATCAAGCGGCTGGAGGTGCAGAACATCCTCCAGCGTGCTGCTCGGGCCGTGGGTCTCCCAGCTGAGCGTTTTCAATCGCACAGCCTTCGGATCGGGGGTGCATCGGCATTGTATCAGGCGACCGGAGAAGTGGAGGTGGTCAAGCGCACCGGCAGGTGGACTTCGGGGGCGGTGCACCGCTACTTGCACGACGGTGGGGACGTGCTCAAGGGCTTGGCGGAGCGCATGGCCTCGATCGACCAGTATGTCCACTACACCTAGGCCGAGTCTCGATGGCTATGAAAGAGGGGGGTGAAGGCGCAGCCACGATGGCACAATAGCACAGGTGCCTGAGTGGATCCAACCAAGGTGCTGTCCAGCAGCAAAAAGACCGAGAGCTTGGGTTGCAACTGTGACCGGAAGCAGCTATAAGCACATAAGTTGGAACTTTTCTAAAGTGTGACTTTTGAGCAGTGGGTGTTTCAGGTCGGATGCCAGGAACATCTTGGCTCAGGGTCCCCTTTTGAGGCCCACCCACCACCCGGGGGGGTGAAGGCGCAGCCACGATGGCACAATAGCACAGGTGCCTGAGTGGATCCAACCAAGGTGCTGTCCAGCAGCAAAAAGACCGAGAGCTTGGGTTGCAACTGTGACCGGAAGCAGCTATAAGCACATAAGTTATGATTGTATAATAACTGGCACTGCACTTCTAAGCACCACCTTATGGATGGGCTCTTGAGGCGTTCTGTGGGTGTGTCTGGAAATGGTGCGTACCCTCCCAAATGGTCATTTTAATTAATTTAATGGAAAGACCAAAAACTAAGTATTTGATGTTTATTTCATGGAAAGTCCGGAAATAATATGGATGAGAGGGTACACACCATTTGGGAAAAGCCGATTCATCAACAGATTTAGGGGTACACTATTTTCGGACAAACCCATTCACACCCTCCGCTCACTCCATTTGGAGGTTTCCATAGTCATGGGGGTACCCCCCGTTATCATCAATTTTAGAATTGGACTGTCCATGAAATAAACATCAAATCAATACTTAATTTTCGGACTTTCCATTAAATCAATTTAAATTACATGTATATATATATATACCATCCATTCATAATAGTACTATGGCCCCATGACTATGGTTTCACCCCGATCTGCGAACCTTCAGAACCTCTTTGGCAACCACGTCCTGCCACCGTCTGCCCGAGGTCATCTGGGATTCATCTGGGATTCACTGAGCTGAAATAATCATAATGTATGTATACGTACAGGATGGGGCCCCCCAGTGATGTTACTTGGTTTGTACACCATGAAATAACCCCCATGAAAACTAGTTCGTTATATCTACCATAAACCATTGTTAAGCCACTTAGAAACCAACTTAGCTATCTTGGGGGCCCCATCCTGTAGGTTTATCTATATATCTGGGAAAATTATCATATTTCATCATATTTCACTAATATTTCACGAACCTGAATCTTGCGGCCATAAAAGGGGATGATTCCCCGAATCCAAACCATGATTTCCAGTGAGAGGGAGAACAGTGAGGTCGTTTTAATTTACCCAGATATATTATATCAGTCAATCATTACCATATAATGGTATAAGCATTACTGATAATGATTGAAATATATATATATGTATATATATATACTGTATATATAGTCTATGTGATATCTATATATATATATTTATGGTTGGTGGTTGAGCCATTTTTTAATAAAAATCACCATGTTTAATGGATAAATCAACTATAAATGGGCCATGTTCCATGGCTATCTTAAATAACCAGATGGTAAACCACAACTGGTTGGTGGTTGGTATACCTACCCCTCTGAAAAAATATAAAAAAAAAACAGTTGGGATGATGATTCAGTCCCCACTTTTTATGGAAAGAAAGTCATAATCCATTCATGTTGCACCAACCAGATCATGTATGTATAAAGCACTTCTTCATAAACCACCCATATGGATCCATATGGATCCTATGATTAAAATCTATGGTTTATACCACCCATAAAAATGGTGACAACTGGGGATGGTTTTAACCATTGAACCACACATTGGAGATGATTTCCACCATAATGAGCAATGATTCAAGCTAGATCATTAAACCATGCTTGATAATTCTCCTGGGCAATTCACTGAAATTCACTGCCGGAGATGATATCTGTTTTTAACATTCCAATGACGTCAAGTCAAGGTGAGGTTTCAACATAATTCATCCAGATTCCCAACTTACCCTCTGGTGTCAGCTCCATGGGGAAATCCCTGACCTAAATGGTCTAGCTGATCATCGAAGAACTGTTCTTCGGCAATGTTCCAGCCATGCAGCTTGTGACGCCAGATGGCAAGTTGGGAATATTCATGGATTTCTGAGGATTTCAGTCACCATCCCCACCAAATTTCAGGAGAGTAGATAATCAATGATAATTATAGGATTATCATAGCTTGATTCGATTACGAAGGATACCCTTCCGAGCGGTCCCCGCAACAAATATGTAAGGCCTTGCGTTTCCGGGGATTGTAGAACGTCCATCAACCCCTCTGAATTGGACTTATCAAGTTATCAAGCCACCAAAGGGTTGCGGGGGGATAACCACTGGGGCACATCCAATTCTATGTCCCATGTTTGCTCAATAAGCATCCATCAATGGTAATTAAACATAGCCACGGAAAATGGGCCATTTATTTTGATGATTTTCCTATTAAAATCTCCATTCATAGTGGATTTTCCATAGCTATGTTAAATAACCAGATGGTATATATATATAACATGGGCCATTTATTTTGATGATTTTCCTACTAGTAAACTCTGACTTAAATTTTGCCAGAGGCTATATTTGCTGGGGAAAATCCCAGCCTTTTTTGCTGGGGAAATCTCCATTGTGAAAAAGATATCACCATGAAAAACGATGGAAAGATCCACCATGTTTAATGGGAAAATCAACGAACTAAATGACCATTTTCAATAGCTATGTAACAAATTACCAGAGGGTAATACTGGTTGGTGGTATACCTACCCCTCTGAAAACTGATGGACTTCGTCCCTTGGGATGATTAATATTCCCAACTTTTTATGGAAAGTCATAAAAATCCATGGTTCCAAACCACCAACCAGATCAAGACTTCAAGCTTCCTGTTTTGACTTGCAGGTCTCTATGGCTTGGGTCTTCAGGTCTTTCTCATTGGCCAGCGCCTCCATCAGCGTGGGAAAGTCACATCTTTGCCGCAGAACTCAGATTGTTGCTGGTACCATCTGGTTATTTAACAGTTCGCCATGGAAAGATCACAATTCTTAATAGGTAAACCCAGGTAAACCATCAATAAATGGGCCATCTATACCATGGCTATGTTAAATAACCAGAGGGTAACTTTTCCTTGGGAAATGAAAGAAAATCGCACACGTTTGGTGGTCAATTGGGTCCAACAGAACGTCTTAGTCGTTTTTTTTTCCGGAGAGAGAAATATTCGGAATCGTTTTCTCGACATGTTGAACAACACCCATAGGATCCATGGTGCTGCTATATATGGTAACATGGATCCCATCAATATACCCCCTTTATGTTAGCAACATATACCAGCACCATGGATCCTATGGGACAGGATACAAAATGAGCTGAATCGTCTTCCAACATCTTCCAGCTCCAGATTTGGAATTTCTCTGCCCTATAGCAGTATTCAGAGGGGGTTACTTCAAACATCTGAGAAAAAACAAACAGCGCGACAACATTAGCAGTTGTCCGTATCCTCAGACATACCAACTTTAGGTTTCAAATGTTGCCCTCAACCCAAAACAAGGTCAACAAATGTATGACATAGATATAATATATAATAATATATATATATTATATAATTATGTAATATATACTATAAATATCCGTTGTCAATTCTCGGGAAATGCGCGCTTATTCAGCCACCTTTTTCCTCGGGCTCACCTTGCATCTCAAATTGGTCCATACCACAAGAATGACACTGGGGAATTTGAGAGAAATCCACCATTGATTGTCTGGTTGGTGGTGCAATAACCATCTTGAAAAATATGAGAGTCAATGGGGTTGGGATGACATCCCATAATATTTGGATTATTATCATCATATTACTAATCCCAAATATTATATAATATGATGATAAGAATCCAAATATTGTTACTTGTTGGTGGTTGACCTACCCCTCTGAAAAATATGAGTTCGTCAGTTGGGAGTATTATTCCCAATATATGGGAAAATAAAATTCATGTTCCAAAGCACCAGCCAGACTTAGTTTAGATCAAGCCAAATAGCGACAAAATCATATTTTCTGATTATTATTTTATGAGTTGAAATAAAGTTAAATCCCAATTTTCTGATAGTAAAATCATGTAGAATCCCAACGTTCTCTGATAAAGATGTCGCCATTTACCGCGGTGACTCTGTCCCCGCGCCTGAAGGAAAGCTTTGGGGACTTGCGCCTGGAAACCTGCGAGGGAAGGTGGTTGAGGCACACCAAAGCGTTTCATAAAGGATAGGGGATCCCATCATATTTTTTATGCGTCCTTCCAATATTCTTGGACGATTTTTTCCTGCAATCCATTCTGGGAAAGTAGATGGATTCTGCCAAATTAAAACCCTGCAGCACCCAAATACAAGATGCTTTACCCACCACAACCGTGGGAATTCAACCAATTAATCTCTTCCCATAGATATTGAACCCATACCCCAACAAAAAAGAAACTGTTTCGGTATACAGGATCTAATTCCAAAAAATCCAGGCAGTTTAATGCAAACATTGAGGGGCAACATGTGGTTTCAACCCATCCGAAAAAGATTAGTCAATAGGGATCGTCATCTCGAAAATGAAAACACCCCCCGTTTTTTTTTAATATCAAATCAGCCTGTCTCCAGGACCATTAACCAGCTACGATGGTAGTATGCGCCAATTTCTCGCCTTCCTCCTCCTGATTCTCGACTTGTTGCTCCATCAGCACTGCTCTGCGGCGGGAGCGCGTGCGCACCCTGAGCGCCGCAGGTTGAAGGGTGGGACATCACCGTGTTTTTTGGGGAACATGGTGATTTTACCACCCGAAACGGAGGGAAATCTATGGAAATTTTCGTAAATTCGGGATGGGATAATGAAATTCATGGGCTATTTGCCGGGGTGAACCAACTTCAAGCATGGTCCGCACACTTGGTGCAGATGGGTATGGATTCCCACAAGCATGACACCCATGGCACGGGTGTCAATACTTTTCCGGGAGTGTAATGATTTGGATGTGTGCTATCCTAGGGAACTCATTTAGT